GTACAATTTTAAACAAATTAAACAAATTTTTCACATAGATTCCAAAAATCATGTGGAAATATTTATCTAAATTTTTGGAATTGTGTTTGGTATCATAATTTTCACTCATAGGAAATCAGTTTCAGTCTTTCTCTCTTTCTTCCTCTTCTCTCAGGGAGCATTGTGAGTGTTGGAGACCCAAAGAAAAAGTATACAAGATTTGAAAAAATTGGTCAAGGGTAAGTGATTATTATTTGTAATACCAAAATGAACTTCAGCAACATATATAATGATTCAGTAGCAGCTTGGAAATCCCAACAATTCATGCTTCTTGTTTCTTCAATTCTATTTGTGTTTTGTAGTCTCAACATTAGCATTTCCAGCTGGCAGTCTGTGTGATAATTAACCAAGGAACACATGCTGTTGCAATCTTCACTATCGTTGAATTGATAGTGAGCTTTGGAGGGGGATTTTGCTCCCTGTATCATTTGCACATTCACACTGATTCGATCTAGAAAAGCAGTAGAGTTACAGAAGTATTTGGCTTATATGAACGTTCTCATTGTTTTGTCCCTATTGCACCAATATCAGTGTGTGGATAGGATCCCGTTTCTTTGTCAAACTGGACAGTAATAGAATGAGGGGGGAACAGTCCTTACTAAATGGTCCAGGGATGGGCAGAGTTGAGTATAACAAAACAGATCAATCATCCCTAAATGAGATAAGGTCCCTTATTTTCACCTAGTGAATTAATACAGATAGAGATTCCCAGTACCCACATGGCAGCTAACAACCGCTTGTAACTTCAGTCCCAGGGAATCCAACTCCCTATTCTGACCTCCAAGGGCACTGCACAGCATGGGTGCACCTTCATTACCTGCAGGAAATACAGTCGTACACATACAACAAAAATAATAATAAAAAAGCCATACAGATTCCCAGGCCCAACTGCCAGAGGTTTGAATCAGAAGTTGGGCAGAGACTCCAGGAATGACAACTTTATAAAAATTCCTCAGATGGGGACTGGAGAGATGGCTCAGCAGTTATGAGCACTGACTGCTTTTTCAGAGGACCCAGGTTCAAATCCTAGCACCCACATGGAGCATAACAACCTTCCATAACTCCAGTTGCAGGGGATCTGATGCCCTCTTCTGACCTCCAAGGGCATTGCTCTCATACACATAAATAATATTTTTTTAAAAAAATCCAGATGATCCTGATGATTAGTGAAACAATGTGAATCAAAATGCTAAATCATTTATTAGAACTAAAAGTAGTAGGAGTCACCTGTTCTTCAAGTCAACTGGAATTAGGTCTATCACTCAGGCCTAAGTGTGCAACTAAACCAGAGGGAAAGATGATGCAACAGTGTTTAGAACAGGGAAGTGTTTTGTTTAAAGAGCTTTAGTTTCTCAAGGATAGAAACTTCAACTTTCTTCATTCCCCAAAGGAATATACTATAAGACAGTTTGCAAAAGATATTACATAGTAATGGAATTTGGAAGAGTTGCCTTTTAGATTTTATTTTTAGTATTTTATTAATTCTTTGAAAATTTCGTACAATGTATTTTGAGCATATTCAGCCCTCCTCCAATAATTCCACCAAGATCCACCCCACCTCCCTACTCACCCAACTTCATGTCCTCTTTTTATTTTTTTTAAAGCCCATCAAGTCCAATTTGTGTTCCCCCAATACTACTCTTCATTGTGGGTCCATCTCTTTGAGCATGGTCAACCTACCAGGGATAACACCCTTAAGGAAAACTGAAAACTGACTCTCACTCTCCCAGCAGCTGTCAATTGCTAATGATTTTTCAGCTAGGGATGAGGCTTCTTTCCCACTGTTCACCCTGCATGCTGGAATTTTGTCTGGCTGGAGTTTGCACAGGCCTTTTGCATTCTGCTACAACTGATGTGAATTCATATGTGCAACTTCCCTGTTGTGTCCAGAAAACACTCTTTTTGTAGTCATCTACCACCCCTGGCTACAGTTATTCCATAGCTATCCCTGAGCCTTGGGAGGGAGGTTGTAATATAGATATGTCCTATTCAGAGATAAGCACTCTACATTCTCTTATTCTGTGTGCACTGGCTAGTTGTGATATGTGTGCTAATCATTATCTACTGCAAGCTTCTCTGATGAGGTTAACAAATACATTAATCTATGCATATGGCAGTAAGTCATCAGAAGTTGGTTTAATGTTATGTCCATTTAGCAGAATAACAGTGGTAGATTCTCCCCAAAGATCTGTGACCTATCAGCCAATAATTGTAGCAGGAATGGGTTTCATCTTCTGGAATAGGCCTTAAATCTAATCAGAATGTGCTTAGTTATTCCCATGATATTAGATTTCATTTTAATGTGTTTGGTTAAAAATAAGGGAGACTGGGGGCTTGATAGATGGATTGATGTTTAAGCATATGCACTGCTCTTGCTAAGGACCAGAGTTCAGTTCCCAGCACCCATGTCAGTTAGCTCACAACCTCTCCTGGCTTCCTCTGGCACTATACTCATGTGCATATACACACACTTAGACACTCTAAAAATTTATTCATTTAAAAATTAAAATGAATGAGTAAGGGAGGAGTCTATAGACTACGTGGAAATACTGCTCCAGATATTCACTGTTCATCACACAGTCACGTTTGACTTTGCTTCCCTTGACTGACAAGCACTTGCAGTGTTGCTAGTACACATTGGAATGTGTTGTAAAAATAAAATACACACCTAATTTCAAGAACTTTGTGTCAAAAAAGACTGTAAAATATCTCATAGATATATTACATATTGGTTATCTATTAAGATAACATTTTGAATACACTAGTCTAAGTAAAATATATTTTTAAACCTAATTTCACTTTGGAAGAGCTTTTAATGTAGCTCTAGACATTTAAAGTATGGCTCACATATGCTTTATGTGTTTTTAAGTATTGACTTCTTAAATTGAAACAGAATACTTATACCTAAGAATGTGATGTTTTGATGCATGTACTTACATTATATAATGTGGGCTAATGAGCTGGCTCAGAGGTAAAACCATCTGGCATGAAATCCTGAGGTTCTGAGTTCAGTCTCTAGAAACCACAGTTAAGGAGAGAACTGACCTCCCCAATACACACACACACACACACACACACACACACACACACACACATACACATAGGGGAAGAGGGGAAGAAAGGGAGGACTATAAGGAGGAAGACAATAGTAAAATAAAAATTTTAAATATATTGCATTTAAATATGTTCAAATCCAAGTAAGCATATCTATCCCTACGTTTATCATTTCCTTTTGGTGAAAATATTCAAAACCATTTCTTCTAGCTTTTTAAAAAAATTTTTCTCTATCCTCATATGAACAGTCACAAATTCTTAAAAATTCCACTTTCATAATTTCTCTACATGGTCACTTTTCTAGTTTTCACCCTGATTTCTCTCCTATTTTATTTATTGAATATTTTGTGTATTTCACACAGAACAGCCCAAACTATCTTAACCATCTTTATACCCCCGTCTCCACTGGCACCCTCCCATAGCTCCCCCCACTAGTGCCCGTATACTCTGTCTTCCCTGTTAAAAAGCCCACTGGCTGTCAGCATCCCCAGCCATTCCCCAGTGCAAGTCCGTCCACTAAGTCTAGTCAGCCTATCTAGTGTCCCTTGTTTTAGGAAGATCAGCTTTTCCTCCTCTAGCAGCAATCAGTTGCCCACATTCCTTCAGATAAGACTGAGGTCTGTTATTCATTTTCCCAGTTTTATGCTGGGTTATTGTCTGCCTGAGATTGCCAGGGACGTGTATGCTGACACCATTGCCATACAATCATATGAGCAGGTTCCCGGGAGCTGGTAGGACTCCTCTGTTTTCATATGGTCATGCACCTCCTCCCTGGCTCTTACAATCTTTCTATCCACTCTTCCATGATGGTCCCTTAGCCTGGGGTGGGAGAAGTTTAATAAAGGGATCCTGCCCAAGGAACATCAATCAACAGGCTCTTGATCTCTATACTTGAGCTATTTGTGACCTTTTGTGTTCCTGGCCCTCTGCTGCATGAGGGAGCTTCATTATTGAGAACTGAGAGTCATTAGTGTCCTCTTCATTATTCCTGTTCTATGTTCCATGAGCCTTAGGTGTAGAGGTTGCATTGTAGATGTGTCACTTAGGCCTGGACAATTCATAGACAATGTCTGTGTGTGACCAGTTGTGGTACTTGGTAACAGCCTCTGACTGGTACAAAAGAAGCTGATTTGATGAGTGGTGACTAGGATATTTGTCTATAAATATAAGTATACATATTTTGTACATAGTAAGAAATCACATTAGTGTTGTGACAGTCTTGGGGTTTTCTCTAAGATTGTAGTTACCCTGTTTTGTAATAGCACACAGGAACTTCTTGCTCCTATCTAACTATGGCTTTATAGCTGTTGGCCTGCCTTTCCCCATTCTTTGCTCTCCCCTACCGTACCCAGCTTCTGCTAACCATCATTCTGCCCTCAACTTCTATCAGATCAGCATTTTTTTCCATTTCACATGTGAGTACAGTTACATGGTGTTCCCCTTTTTGTACTTGGCATACTTAATATATTGATCTCCAGTTCCATCCATATTGTCCTATTGACCCAGAAGGCATTTCATCCTCTGTATTCTTTCAGGAGGATTCCATTGTGTATATATACTACATTCTTCTTATCTATTCATCAATTGATAGACATGTGGTTTGATTCTAGTTTTTAGCTATTGTGTACAGTGCTGCAGAAACGTGTGCACAGATGACTTTTAGACATTCAGAGTTCATTCCTTATGGATATATTCACCCAGCAGTGACATTCTAGGATTTTGCTTTTGTTTAGAGTTTGCAATGTATTGCTAATGAACAATACGTCTTTAATTGTAAGTATAAATAGGACCTATTTATTAAAAAAGCACTTTGTTATACAGATGCTTTCTGAGAAGTCAGAATGGGAACTGTTATGGCTTTATTTTGATTGTTTGTTCCCACTAAGATACACCTGAACCAAAAACAGCATTATTGTATTATTGTATTCAAAAGGGAAAAAAGAAAAAGAAAACGAAGAACCAGTTTCAAATATATCAGGAAATGAAGCAACACAAATAACCTCAAAAACAAAGATTATGCCACCAAGTGATTTTTCACGTTAAGGAGCCAAGGAGATTTCCCCAATATGATTGTTATACCTGAAAGTCTAAATGGGAAATGGAAAGGTTTTTCTAAATACCTGTC